TGTTGTCTTAATTATCTTCCTCGTCTTTGAGCAGATTCTTCAGGATTCAATGTCATGTAGCAGAAGAGATATCACGTAACAGTTCAATACTATTTTCTTTGTCTCTCATGGAATTTATCTGTTATCCTATATTAATACATAACATGACACAATTTTTATTTACATTTTGGGACGAATATCTTCATCTTTGTTATGTTAATGAAACCTTTCGTCCTTCTATCAGTTTCTGAAGTTCTTAGATGATATATTTGCGTCGAAGCATTAACTTTTTTTATAATGTTGTTTTGTTTAACCGTTTTAGCCTAGGCAAGGACATAATTCCACTAGAATGCTGGGCATTTACAGGGTGTGAAAGTATAAAGGGATGTTGAAACTGAGAATGAATAGTTTCGAAGAAAGGACAAAAGAATGGCACGGTTCAAGAACAAGGAAAACAGCGATCGACTTTTTATTTAAATCTTAATTTAAAGATGATAGTTATCTGGGAGGCAAGAAATCGGATGGACGTTCCACAGGTGGGAAGTGGGAAAAGAAAAACTGATTTTCATAATCTTTGATTTTGGTAAATCTTTTCGGTCGTTATATTCTGAAGACTAAAACTTCCCTGGTCTTTTTTTTTTAAGTTCACTTCGCTTATACTATTCGGACGATGGCGTTCATTATTTTAAAAAGAAATTTAATCCTTCCCGCTGTTCTTTGAAGTTTTCAGATAAAATGTTTTTATTTTGATACTAGAATTCTTGGGGGCTGTTATTTTTATCTCTGTTTTATATATATATATATATATATATATATATATATATATATATATATATATACGTAAGTTTTAGACCGTTCCCTTCTGTTCTTTGAAGTTCGAAGATAAGGTGTTTTCATGATGACTTACGTTACTTTCAATTTTTTCTTCATTTTTGGTTTTAATATTAATTCACGTTTTCGCCTCTTCAACATTGAAATGCGATATTATTTTATCAATCTATTTTTGAACTATTCTACTGGTTTTATGTGTACCTATGCCTATCAGTACACACAGTTCACAGGATTATAAGTGGGTGTTAAGTCTACATTTTACAATTGAATAACATACCTTGCTATAAAATGGAGGTTACACTGGCCAATAAAATGTATTGGTATAAAACAGAGGTTACACTGGCCAATAAAATGTATTGCTATAAAATGGAGGTTACACTGGCCAATAAAATGTATTGGTATAAAACAGAGGTTACACTGGCCAATAAAATGTATTGCTATAAAATGGAGGTTACACTGGCCAATAAAATGTATTGGTATAAAACAGAGGTTACAAAGGTCAATAAAATGTCTTGCTATAAAATGGAGGTTACACTGGCCAATAAAATGTCTTGCTATAAAATATAGGTTACACAGGCGACTAAAATGCCTTGGTATAAAACGAACATTAAGTACGCTAGTAAAATGCCTTGGTATAAAAAAGAGGCTTCACCGGTCAATAAAATGTCTTGGTATAAAACGGAGGTTACACAGGCCAATAAAGCTGTTAAAAAGCTCCTAAACATTTGAGAATAACGAAAAATATAGGATACTTTACCTTTGATCGTTGGCTTGAAGCGGTAAAGATTGTACTATTCAGGGACGCACCCCCGTGCGACTCTTAAAAAGCGACAATTCTTGGAAAATGTTATAAGTGGGGAAAGTCCTTAAATTTAGAACACGTAAGAAATGAAGCTGTTTCGACTTTCTGAAAATAGCATAATTCTGCTATCTTGAAACTTCTAAAATGTCGGAAATAAAGAGTGAATTTCGTTTACAGATTTGCCGTAGAAATAATGATAAAGTAGTGATATTTTTCGATGTTCCGTCCGAGGGGAGGAGACTATAAAATGGATAATAACTCTTCTCCCTCCAGACCTGGCAACGGATTTTGAACTATCACGGCTGGGAAGTGGGGATTTGAACAGCTCTAGCTGTCTGGCAGAAATACTCCATTTTTGGTCCAATCTAACTTTTGAAGAAATAAAGCATGGTAGAATGGAGTGTTAGAATGAACCAACCGTTTTTCCAGATTCTTTAGCAATGGGTTGTATTAAATGAGTTCCACTTGGGTCTTGAACTCAACTTGAGATGCAACAGACGTTCAAAGCATGGAACATCACCAAGCGTGAGAAACATTCTTCGTAACTGGAGTAATGGCGGGGTTTAAATAATATGCGGTTGTCCAGTGACTGACTTTCTATTCTTCGAAAATATTCTGTGGTACATGATACGGAAGCACTGAGATGCAGAGCTATTGCTTAAATATAATTAATTGACATTAAAAGGGAACGAACTGAAAAGTCGTCGTTAAAATGTCATCAACGGTGTGTTTAGACATCGAGAGGATAGTTAAGTGAGAAATTTTAAATCCTATAAACACATCATGCATTTGCAGATCCCAAGCGTAAAAATCAGAAGGCTATTAAATTAACTGTAAACTGAAAGGTTAAAAAAATGTCTGGCTTAGCATTTCCTCAAGATTCTATTATTTAAATAATATCGGTTTGCTCTGGCGATAAACAAGACAGCATTTAAAGATCCCAGACGTATTAGCTACAGCTTTAATATAATTTCAGTCAGTTTAATGGGGAGTGAAAAATATGTTGTTGTTTTTTTATTATTTAGTTATGATTTTATTCTTTACATAATATCGAATAAATTTTGTGAAATGTTTCTAATTGTCTAAACACAGATACACATGAAGATTGCAGACAAAATATGTAAGAACTCGGTGACGTAGCTTCTTTGTGTTTTTTTTTATAACTGTTCTACTATGCATTTAGAGATGCTTGATAAAATCCAGAAAAGTATCGGCAATATTACTGGTCCTGAGCTGGCATCTCGACCTCAGTCATTGCTGTCCCACGCCGTAAAGTAGGTTCCTGTGCCGTTTCTATAAATACTTTCAGGGTAATTTTCCTACTACATATACTGTATTTATAGATTCTTGATCAAATCCAGAGAAGAATCTGCTATGTTATTAGTCAACACTAGCATTTCGGTTTTTAGTCATCACTACCGTCCCGTAGCTTTCCTGTGTTTTTTTTTTTCTATAAATTCTTTCATGGTAATTGCTGGAAATTCTTCTGTTGTATCTAGACTTTATGCATTTAAGGTCAGTATTAGATTTGCGGCAAGGCCTCATTATTATACACTTGAAATGGCTTGATGTAATCATAAGTTCTATGCGAACATTTTTTTCTCTTGCACTCTTCGCTTGTGGAACTCTCTCCTGTCTTTCTGCCTTCCAGTCAAATTTGATCTTCAAAATCTTAGATTCATTCCCGTTATTTTATTGTTCCCTCTCTTTTATAGTGATTTTTTGTTATATTCTCTAACACTCAGCAAACTCTTGTGTCTTAGTGGCTTTAATGCCTTGCTGGTGTTAAATGATTCTCAAAAAATATGCCTTTAATGCTGGATATGAGAGAAGGCCAGTCTTTGATAAAAAGAATGTTTCAAAGATTGTAAAAGATTATTAAATATTAACCCCTGGGTATGACGATAAACTACATCCGCGTCCTTAGTAAGACGATAAACTACGTCCAACAGCAAGGTCTCTGATCAAGAGGTTTTGAGGAGCGTGGAACCACCTCTTAATTGCTGGTGTTCCCAGGTCCACCCTGACTCGAAGTATTAACATCTGTTAGGGTCCTAGCTATGGGAAAATAGTTAACCCCCAAATTGGGGAAAAACACTATGAAAATGTAAAAATAGGTTTTAATACCAGAAATACTTTGCAAAAAGAAAACAAAAATATTACCAGCAATAAGTTTTTAAAGAAAAAATTATTACAAACAATACATTTTTGAAAAAATATATATATAAGCAGCTATACCTTTTGAAAAAAAATTACATGCGATACATTTTTGAATTTTGAATATATTACCAGAAATAGATTTTTGAAAGGAAAAAAAAATTGCCAGCAATACAGTGGAAAAAAACAATATTACCAGCAATAAAAATCTTGTCGGCATTAAATAACCAATTAAGGTTGATAAAACGTAAACCAAACCAAACTCAAATTTATAAAAAAAAGATATTCCATAGGATCGTGTTTATTAAGTTTTAATCTCAATTTGTAATGTTAGTGGAAATATTAGTTGCTTCCTTATAAGGAAACATTTAGTATTCAATGACCGAACAGCCAGTACTGCTGTCAGTTGAATTTTGTAAAATCTTTCTCTTTAAACAGTTTTTCAGTAAAAGAAAAAGTTTCTCACGTCTAGTAGCTGTTATTGTTCTTTCCATTTATGAGGAGCTTTTCCTTCCTAGCCTTTTGTTTGAAGTAGTGTGGAAGATCTAGAGTACAAAGAAGTGTGGTATTCGCCCAGAATCACAGGCTTTACTCGCTCAATGCCATTTTAACCATTGATCCTAGAAAGCGGTTGTATGCCAATATGCGGTCCATTTAAATGAAAATAGCATTTGAAAGGCCAAAACGTACTTGGTAGAATGATTGATTTGGCTTTTTTACGGCTCATCTACTGTGTGCAGCTTATTTAAAGCCAGAAAATATTTTTAGATCGCAAGGTTTTTTTGAAAATCCGATTAATTAAACCATAGGTGGTGGTTGGAGACGTGGTTGACTCATGAACTTCCCAAGTGTTTTTTTGCACGTAAGTGGATATAACAATCCCAGTTGGAATGGGAACTCAGTTCTCCAATTTCAAAATACGAGCCATTATCTCTACACCAAACAAACATCCAAGCTGACAGCATCTGGTATTCCCAAGCTGCTATCCATTAGGTGCTGACCAGGCTCGACGTTGCTTAACTTCGGTGATAGTACGGGAACCAATGTTTCGACATGATATGGCCATATACTTATACAAATATAGAATTATATGAACCTGCCGAAATATATATATATATATATATATATATATATATATATATATATAGAGAGAGAGAGAGAGAGTGTGTGTGTGTAAAAAGATGAAAAGTTTTGGAGAGAGAGAGAGAGAGACCTAAACGGTTTCATATACATAGAAAAATGCATAGATATTGAGAGAGAGAGAGAGAGAAAGAGAGAGAGAAAGAGAGAGAGAGAGAGAGATGAGAGTGTGTGTGTGAAAAAGGGGTGTAAAAAAGAGGAAAAGTTTTGGAGAGAGAGAGACCTAAACGGTTTCATATAGATAGAAAAATAGATAGATAGAGAGAGAGAGAGAGAGAGAGAGAGAGAGAGAGAGAGAGAGTGTGTGTGTGTGTGTAAAGGGGTGTGAAAAAGAGGAAAAGTTTTGGAGAGAGAGAGACCTAAACGGTTTCATATAGATAGAAAAATCCATAGAGAGAGTAACACAGAAATAGGGTCAGGCTAAGACCTAAAGAGATAGATTAACAGGCAAAGTATCAGAATGTTAATCTTACGAAGAGGGTCGGCCCGAGAACATTCACACGTACAAAAAAGAATGAGGGCGAGGCTGCGAATTCGACCCTCTGATTTCCACTTTTGAGACGATATCCATTAAACCACCACATTTCCAAACTTATAGCGCCTAGTATTTCCAAGCGGTCACCCATCTCGATCCTAATCAGGCTCAATGTTGCTTAACCGCTGTTTCAACGTGTTATGGCCCTAAACTCTGTGCGTAATACAAAAGCTATTACATTATATACTGTAATTTATATCGAAAAGAATAACGTTCGCTGTATGATTCTGTTTAAGGTCTGTTGCTAAAATAATAAAACTCTAATTAAACGTGAAATGTGTAGTCTGGTATGGAAAGGTGTATATGAAAATTGCAAATGTAGTGGGTAGAGAAGCAACTTGTTTATTCTAAATTCTTAAAATTCAATATTAGACAATTTTTTTTAACTTTAAACAATATCGGCTAAATAAGCTGAGAATATTAAATCCTGAAAGCACTGTTGCATTTGAAAATTCTAGACGGACGTGGCAGTAATTATACCGCTTTAATATAAATTCAACGAATGAAATAATGCAGAAATTTTGCTTCAGGATTTAGTCAATACTCTGTTGTTTTTACATAAAAAAAAAAAAAATTCTTTCATATCCTGTAAAAATTTCTGCATTTGAAGATCCCGGATGCAATGGGTAAGGTTGTTATAGCTGAAAACATTACTAATCGCAAAAATGCAAAAAAAAAAAAAATAAATTAAATTAACTCGCGAATATCCAAGGAAAAAAAAAACAACTTAAATATGGATTTTATTAACGAAACGAAGAATCACTGACATTTTCAGTTAGTGCAACTCAGCAAAAATCAATGTATCCGACCAATTTTAACTTAATGAATCTAATATATAAAACTTAGTTGTATAGGATGTTTAATGGATAAAGCCTCGGAATGAGAAGTCTGAGAACTGGGTTCGAACCCTTGTCGAGTTCTTTACATTCTGCTAATAGCCTTTGGAAAAATTTAAAAAAAAACAAAAAACATCCCACATAGATATGGTTTAAATAAAAAGATACCCAGGGTCCTATATCCTTGATTTTTACCCAATCTCCTAAATATTCTAAGAGCCGCCTGCTGCAGGAATTCATCTGCCAAGTTCATCATGATCGCCAAAGCTTGTATCAATTCAGAGCAACAAAGGAAGAAAGAATATAAAACTGAAATTTTGATTGCTTATTTGCATGAAACCATTCAAATCAATAATTATATGGTTCATTGTTTATCGATCTATGTGAGTATGCTAATAATTCCTTCTACGTATGTGCCGCGTCCCTTCGGGACATGGAAAATCATGTCTCTCCAAAACTTCCTATCCGTTGTCGCCCCTAGTTTTTCTCGCTTTGCTAAGAGTCCTGACCCCGGTTCCGTCATCCATTCAAACATATTCGTCAGGTAGTTAATTCGCTGTCTTTATCGATCTCTCTTGCGCTAACTCTTGTGGAGTATAGATTTCCAAAATCTTCTTCCTCATGGATTAAAGTAATTTCAAATGTCCCTTTCTGATTTGTTGATGCTCTGTTTATGACTTCCTTGTTGCTTACTCGCTCTATCCATGGAATTTTCAGCATCCTTCTCTGCAACTACATTCAAGCTAAATATGATTTTCTCCTCATCTGTGGGGAGATTATCCAATATTCACTGCCATAGAAGAGGATGGATATGCCAAGTAAATATATTTTTAACATTTATAGATATATACATGCTTCTTAGCATCTTACCAAATTTAGCGATTCTAGCTTAATGAAGAGAACATGTTAAACTTAAAAACCATTTTTATCACAACAGGCTCGGATTGCGGAATCGGAGAGCCGCGTTCGAATTCCAGTCGAATCCATTGCATTCACTTACGTGTTAATACCATTGGGAAAGGTGTGAATCCTCTTCTTCTCCCTCCAGCTATGGGTAAATAGCAAAACAGACCCGGTTCTATAGCCTTGGATGGCAACTGGTCTACCACAGAAAGAAATGACAACCTACTGCGAAAAAATCTGCCTCGACAGTACCAAAAGGTTTTGGGAAAATATTTGGAGCAACCCAAAGGAATCCCAATGCAGAATGCCAGCGTAGGCGTTGGAATGCAGCATATTCAAATGAATTAGAAATTAAGAAAAGAACACTACAGACGTTGGAGTCGGGTTTTAAATACCGAGATGAATTCACAAAGAAGAAGATCAGCACTAAAATCTTTGGCTGTGCAATACAGTTTCAACGTCCTTGATTGGATCATAGCTGATATTAAGCGAATGTGGCATATTTTCTATTGCAGATATTTGCCATCCTGAGTGGGTACTAACAACGTAATGGTCAAATGTTTCTGTATATTTATCACAAAATCTGCATTTTGGGCTAACACAATTTTTCACTATGTACGCTTGATAGTTTCCAGTTAACAAGCACTGGTCCTGTGCAGCAAGAATAAAAACTTCGTTGTTATTATTATTATTATTATCATTATTATTACTATTATTATTATTACTATTATCATTATTATTACCATTATTATTATTATTACCATTATTATTAGTATTACCATTATTATTAATATTATTCTCATTATCATTCGCTATTTATAAAATTATAATCATACTTGAAAAGTAGTTGCTTAGTTTCCAGACAAATTCGTTGATGAGATTATCAGTAATGCTTATTTGTTTTTTCGACCGAATTCTTTTAGAATTGGTCGAAAAGGAAAAAATGATTGCTAAAATTCAAACAGTAAATTATATATATATATATATATATAATAGTCAATATTATTATCATGCATAAATGGATGCTGTACAAAATGACTGTATCTACACACCGTGAAAACGGCTCACAGAGCGTATTATCTACGTATGCGCTATTCATTGGTGCGATAATATTAGAATCATACTGGCGTCCATAGTCCTTAATTGAAACTTGGAGATCAGCTTTTTGTCGTGGCCATCGCGTACTCGATATTGAAACAGGGCATGACTATCTCCATCTGAGCTGTTTTTAGATTATTGCGTAAATAAATTAAAAAATAAACGAACAAAGATTCGGCAAAATATTTTATGTACACAACGAACAAAGACATTTTTACTGACGATCACAATTTTTTCTCCAATCTCCGAACAAGTCCAACGGCTGATATTTAGTTGTTCGTATCTGTACCAATCATTATGACAATTCAATCATTGATTATTGTTTTCCTGGTGTTGCTCCAATTAGTTATTATTCTTTTATGTGGTGTGTCCCTTTCGGATATCGTCGATCATGGCGCTACACAACTTCCTGGTCTTTGTATCATTAAATAAATGTTTTTTTACTTCACTGTCCCAACCAATCCATGTTTTATCATTTAAGAAAACAAGTTAGGTAGATTTTCGCCGTTTCTCTCTGCCCCGCTTGCATTCGGTACGTTCTGTGAGAGTCAATTTCTCTAAGCACTCTTTCCTGATTATGTTTCACAGATATTTCTAATATTTATTTCTCATTCTAAGTATAAGTATCCTTTTTGTTTCTATTTTCCTTAAAACGTCCTCGTTGCTCACACGTTTCCCTCCCCTCATGTCATTTTCAGTATCCTTCTTTAGAAAAATATCTCTATTGTCTGAAGCCTTCCTTTTTATTTTAATCATTTCATTCTAAACAATGGAATAAAGCCACTAAGACGCAAGGAGTTACTGTGTGTAAAAGAATACGAGAGAAAGAAAAAACATTATTAAAGCGAGAGAACAATAAAAGAATAAAAATTAAAAAGATAAGATAAAAAATGTCTTTCAACCGTGGGGAATTATGAAGAAATCATGACCATATAAGAGGATTGATATTACATAGTTCAGCAGTTTTTTCTTTATTTTCGCTGCTTCGTGTCTCTTCTTCTGTAAGGAAATTGTCTAGCAATAGACGAGGATTGATTTGCATTTTTTTTTTTACTATCCCAATGCGCTCTTAATCGCAAACTTTGAATTAGCCATTTATTTTTCTACGATCGTCAGACCAAAAAATCATGTCGTATAAATTCAGACGATTTTCACTTGCGTAGAAATGACGAGAAAGAAGCTCGAACGTAGGAGAGAAAGTAATGAAGGGCATTCTATAGTCTCTATATTTAAAATCAGGCAAATCATAGAAACGTCTGAAATTTAAGTTTCTAAATTCATTGTGTCTTGTGATTGCATATGCTTTAACTCTATAGCAGACAGGTGTAAGAGCGTTGACGATGAACAACATTCAAATGCTACAGCTCGTTTTGGCGCTGAAATATTGATTTGAAACTCCGTTAGTAATGTTAGTAAAAATGTAGATACCTCCACGAGATCGCTAAAATAAAGAGCATAGCAAGATAAAAGAAAACGCCAAATGTGACGAAAACAAAATTTCATCGTCTAAATGTTTATGTTATTATTAAGAGGAAAGATCAAAGTATTTTTTGGGGTATTTTTTACATTTTTAATCGTTCCTAGCACGTCCGAAATTTTCGTTAAAAAATCTTGTTTTTTTTTTTAGTCAGCAAAATTGACAGATAATCGATCATTTTTTTTTCCATTTTATAAAAAAAAATAGAAAATCTCAGTTTGAAATTATTTTAAAATTCAATTATCTTTTCTTCAAAAGTTATTTTAAGAAAATCAGAAATTACGTTTATTTAAAATATTTTGAACCAAGCTTAACTAAGCTTCTTCGCCGAAAAGAAGTAATTTGAAAATAAAACAAAGCAGGTCATAAACTTTCGCGTCACTTGACAGGTGACGAATGACATACTGACGGATTACGTGAGGCTAATTTGTTCTACGGAAGGAGAAAAGTAAATTATTTAGATTTAAGTGAACAAATTATTTACCTCGTTATATTTAAGGAAAACTTTCAGCGCTGTAATTTTTTTTTGTACTTAGATTTCACCTTTATATTTACGATGCTTTATGGCAAATATATTATGAAGAATTTAAAATAAGACTTAAGAGTGAGATTAAATTTCATATTTCATAAGAAAGGTATCTAATTAATTTATAGGTACCTTTCTTATGAAATTTTATCAGAAGTATACATAAAATACTATAATTTTATGTATATTTACTACATTTTTCTGTGTAAATTGTATTTCCACTCATTTTATTATTAATTTTGATATTTCATTCATGGAAAAATGTCATAACTGAGATGAATATAAAAATAAGATCATATAAATTTCATAAGATGATACTGATACTTGTAGGTACCCTTCTCAGTTGAAATTGAAAAATCAAATTAACTTCTCCACACGTGTTTCACAAAAGTAAAGGCCTTAACAGCGGAGAACAATGCTTAACTCAAATAACGCAACTTAATTGTATTCTGGTTGGTCTTCCGTACTTTATAATTACAGCCCGATTATAAACACAAAATTACATTTCTTAATTACTGCGGGTCTTCTGATTAGTCAAAATGATACAATTTACAACGCGCTAAAAAAGATCTATCTCATAAGGACACTTACGAAAGTGGATGCGGCTTTTAACTAATTTTATAATATTTTAACAACTTAAATGTAAAAATCTATTATAATTAAAGAAATAACAAATAATTGTATTAAAAATTCATTTTTCATCGAAAAAATTTTTTGCTTTCAGAAAATATTGTCCATATTCATAAAAACAACTAAAAGCAAATAAAAGCATTTGAAATTAAATAATATCTTTGTTTTATTGAGTTTTGTATGTTACAATTCAGAGCTGATTTTCAGGTGAGGGCAGTTAAAAAAACAAAAAACATGATTTGCATTCCTCAAAGCCTTGTGCTTTTAACTATTTTAATCACTAAAGTGGTCTCGATAGAATTTCTAGAGTTTTCATAAAATTAGTTATGGGGGGGGGGTAAAAATATAAAAATTATTTCTGCCATGATTTTAATAAAAAAAACATATTTATAATAAATTCGATCATCTTTGAATAGTTTCTGAAAGTTTCATTAACATCAGACAATTATTTTTATTTTTGCAAGATTTTCGAGATTAATGTGTATCATACAAAGAAAAGTACTAAAAATTGTATATGTTATTTTACTAGTTTCGGTGATACAAAGAGAAACAAGTTTTTTTTTAATCAAAATTTAGAATGTTCTAAAAAGAAGGAAAATTTTTAAAAAATAATTAAAATGAATTTTGGTCTTTCCACTTCATAATAAACATTTAGACGGTAAAATTTTGTTTTCGTCAAGCTTGAATTCTTTTTCCTCATGCTATGCTCTTTATTAAGCAATCTCGTGGAGGTACCTATAAAAATGGAATATCCTAAAAAAAAAAATAAGTAAAAAATAAAATATATATATTATAAATAAAGTCTTTTTTTTTTTATATCTGTCAAGTAATCCTGGAATATAGCTAATATTTTAATTATGCTGATGTCAACAAAATTGCAAACAAATGAAAAATACGATTTTTTTATTTGTGTCTTCAGTAAGAAGTCTTTTAACCTAAAAATACAAGAAAATAAAAATACAAAACGTACAAGTGCTGACGTAATCAAAAATCAAGATGACATCAGCACTTCCAGACCTCATGACAATAATCCAGAAAAGTTTAAAACGATTTAATCCATTATTGGAACTGTATGGCATTTTAAGTTTGACGTCGCTCCCACTCACTTTTAAAACTTCAAAATTATCTGTCTGGTTAAGAACCGTTGATGGGAAAATAATAAATTTATTGTATGTTGATAAAATTCATAAATTCCCAACTCGGTATCCATGTTGATGACAAAACTATTTATTCCTGTCTCAACAGTAAGTCTTATCAGTTCGATAAGGGCAAATTAGCAGCTGATCAAAAAAAAAATAAATAAATTATGTACAACATGTTGTTAACTGGTGCAAGGAAAGGTATGTTAATTTTAACTGCTCTCAAATGAAACTGTTTCTTTTTACATGTCTATGAGAGCCCTTTTTGCCTTCCGTCAGCCAGGCTGATGTTATTCTCCAGGAGGTTATCTAATTGCACCTTTTCAGACTAAGATTTTTCCGTTGACGCGAAGTGAACTATTATATTGAATCAATTGCTAGGTCTGCTGATAGGAAAGTTAGTTTACTGTGTCGTGCAAGACAATTTTTTTCTCGCCAGGATCTATCTTATATATTTTTAAGTCTAAAATCCGTCCTTGCTTTGAATATTACAGCCACGCTCTGGTGTTCCATTTAGAGATTTTTTGATAAGGTACAAAGAAGTATCTGCAATGTTGTTGGTCCTGAGACATTTCAACTTCAAAGATGCATAGATTTCTTAAGAAAAGAAAGGTCAAATATTTTCATTATAATTGTTCTAATGAACGTTCCTCTATGGTACATAGACTTTATGAATCTAAGTGTACTATTAGATTGGAAACAAGATCTCGTCATTTGATAATTGAAATGACTAGATATAACTGTAATTTCTATGCTTGCGAAAGTCTCTTTTGGCTTCTTGCTTCGCAATCAACTTTGATCTTCAAAAATTTAAATTCAACGTCAATCGTTTTCTCCCCTCTTTTTAATTCTTGTGTTTCTATTGTTCTCTCTCATTAATCTTTCTTATAATCGCTCACACGAACATCTTAGTGACTTTATTGCCTTGCTTTTGGCGAAATGATTAAAAAATAATGAAATAAATATCATTATACATTTGATAAGGTTTAGTTTTTTTTTCTTATAATCTCTCACACGTAAATCTTAGTGGCTTTATTTCCTTTCTTTTTGGTGAAATAATTAAAATATAATGAAATAATTATGAAGTATTATTTGATAATTTTTAGTCTGGTAAAATCTTCAGAGGATATAAAAGAATGGCCACGATAGAGTAGGTGCAAGCAGGTGTTGGGAATGGTTTGTAAGGTTTTTTTTTTTAATGAGAATTTCCTGATAATAAAAATATATATATTTTACAAGAACTCAAATATTGACAGCTAATGCATTGAAGGAAGTTTTACTGAAGTATATCCTTGACCTTGTATAAAAATTAAAGAAAGCTACCTCAACGCATTTGCTTGAAGCAATGGAGTAGGTGAAAAATCTTTCCTAGACAAGAAGGTCGACCGACAATTTTAATGCATTATAAAAACTTATCTTACGTTACAAATGCGGCGTCATATTGCTGAACAACTAAAAAGTACCGGGCGTCAGTCAGTGACAAATCGAAGGCAGAATAACACTAGAGGAAGGCCAACAAAATATATCGACCGAAATCCATCACAGAAGCGACATTTTATTAACTTGTTGAAAAAAGAAAATGGGAAGCAGTTTAGAAAAAAAAAAAAGAAAATCAAAGAAAATTCGTATTTTCTTATATAAAAAAGAAAACTTCTTGCCTGAATAAGAAGTTATCATTATTTAAAAAAATCATATTTGCTCTATTGTCCTCAAATTTGTTGTTTTATATCACAACGTTTTGTAATGCACTTGCATGGAGTATTGCTGCAATATATGGTCTGGTGTCCCTTCTGTATGCCTCGGGGTACTTGATAGGCTCCAGAGGCGGATATGCAATGTAGTTGGCCCTGCCCTGGCGTCGCCTCCCTCTGTCTGTTCTACAAATACTTTCATGGAAATTGCTCCGAGGAGCTGCATTCGCTGGTTCACAGACGTCATGAGTTCCAGCGCCTTACGAGGCTGGCATCCCAAATTTCACCCCTTCACTGTCGAAACTCCTAAATGTAGCCGTCTCTTCTACTCTAATAGCTTCATGTCTCGCACCTCTCGCCAGTGGAACTCCTTCCCTATTCCAGTTTCCCTGTGAGCTATAATCTCCAGCTATTCAAGTGTGTTGTCAATCGACATCTCCAGTTGCCTTGATCTATCCACTACCCTCATCCTTTCTTCTATCACTCCTATCTGATCTTGCTCTAAACTTTCTGTAACCCCTTGCGTCCTAGTGGCTTCCCGCTTTGCTTGGGGTGAAATGCTTAAAAAAAAAAAAAAAAAAAAAAATAGATAAATATTTCATTTCATGAATGCTTGTTGAGGTAGAGACTTTGTAATCGCAGCTACAACTATAGTAACGCCGTTGAACAATACATATATCAGACTCCTTCGAATAGCACTTGCATTAATAGTACTTGCTCGACAATGTCTCGCTCGACAAGTAATCCGTA